AAAAAAAAAGGTGGACGTTTGTTTTTATAGTTTAATCTGTGAATTAGTTGCAGATAAGAATAGTCTGAGCAACTGTCACCATCACAAATATAACCATAAGATGGATTGAGCTAATCGTATATAATTGTGTAGCACTACTCGTACTCGTAGATACTTGTGTAGTAGTACTCGTACTCATAGATGATTGGGTAGTACTACTCGTAGATGGTTGTGTAGTAGTGCTCGTAGATAACTGTGTAGTGGTACTCGTAGATATTTGTGTAGTACTACTCGGCTCGGTATTTGCCACTTGTATAATAACATCAGCAATTTTACACATATTTTTACCACGTGCAATTCGAAAATAACCTTTTTCACCCCAACCAGTACCTATATTTTCAAGAAAAAATAATAAAATATATTCTTCATCGATACTTACCCCAATGAAGTTTGCATAACCAATAAGGTTTTCCTTCTTCGCTACCATATCCAATAATCTGTACCTATGAAGATTAATTTTATCTTTAATAAATATAAAATCTAACAATATTTCTTAGTTCTTACGACATCATCTATAGAATGGTTAGAACATGATGGGTCATCATAAATACCTCAAAAACGAGAAAACAAAATACTCAATCTATAATAAAACAAATTTCAATACCTCCAGTATATGTATTAAAACCTTTTCCAGCAACACTCATTTCTGCCCATAAAGTCGACTCTTGAATCCATTCTAACATTTCATTTTCATCAGGTTTTGCCATTCGTTTAATTGTATCAAACTATAATTTAAAAAAATAAGTTGAGATTTTCATAAAAAATATCAAACTCCAATATAAACATACACTAGCAAATGGTTTACATATATCTCGTTGACATCGACCAAGTGGTTTTGGATAATCTTCTTTTCGACAAATACCACTCATATTCTTTATACAATCAAAAGCATCGATGGGTTGTCGACAACAATCGTATACTTGTGGTATACTACCTTCAATAAGTTCACCAGTTTTAATAGCATGAAGACTTTCGACAAGTTCTATACAAAAACGAAATATGATTATGTTAGTATTTTTCTTTATTAGTATATACCAGTACTAACAACAGCAGTCACAATTACTCCAACTTCACCATGATATACTTCCGTGATTACACCTTTATCACGCCAATCAAGGGATTCAGGTAAATTGTTTACTTCTCTAGAACTTTTAAATGATGATGATGTATAAGATTTGAGTGTATTTTTTCGTGAAGATACAAGTTCCTGTGTAAAAGAATGAATGATGCATTATTGACAGATATTAACAACTAAAATTTACTTGAATACGTCGATCAGAGAAATGATTAATTGCTAATGTATAAGTTGCATGCGGATTATTTTGTTGAAAAGAATGAATTTCATTAAAATTTTCAATAAATATTTGTTTTCGTTCAAGTTCTTCATCAATTGTTTTATATTGTTTATTATATTTCTGCTTAAATTCATTCCATTCATTTGATAAATCAGCAACAATGATACCAAATAGTACGACGAAGAAAATAGACTTGAAAATAAAACGTGTATTTAACATTTTTTATAACTTAATGTGAAAATGAATGTGTTAGCAGTGAGATAGATAAGAATATGTAATATCAAGAACATTATCACTGTTAACATCATCATGACAAAAAATAGTTGTTATTATCAAAAATGTAAAGAAATATATCAACAAAGAATTAATCATTGTACTAGCAGAATATTTATTCACTTAAATTAAGGACAAGACACAAAATGATATATAAAATTCAATTAAAAATTTTTTAAGACGATCGATGTGAAAGCTAATGAACTGATTATGTCTAATGTAGGACAAGAGCCGAATTACTATGGTCAGAATACCAAGAGAATAGAATGTTTTTGTCATGAAATTAAAAGAAAAGTGGTATATATTGTTTTCATCCGTTCATTATGAATGTTGACATTCTTTTCACCCACGTGTGTAACGTAGAAAAATCTTGTTTGATTGTAAAAATTGGAGTTGTTGGTATATTTGCAAGAGATGAATAACATATCTTCACTTTTTTTATATTGTTGCATTTGTTTATTATTGTAGTTTATCTTGTTGACGACGAAGTAAACATGATATTAGTGCTACAGTGGCACTGACACAGGGTGGCTAGATCTTTTGAAAAGTCAGAAAAAATTCTGAAATTGCAACCTGTTTCTGATTTATAAATCTAGAAATTCAAAAAATATGAAACTATGTAGAGACTTCTTGGACTAGGCGTACGTGCGTCGCCTTCTGGTGAAAAACTGAGTTAGATACACTTGTACGATGATGGCGAATGTTTATTTAGTTTTCTTTCTCACATAACACTTTTCTTCAGCTGGATAGTTGAAATGTACTGAAAAGTTATCGATGAAGAAAATCATTTTTTGTAGATATTTCAAAAAAAAA